GGCTCTTAGTCGTGTTCAAAACATTCGTGACTTACGTACCTTAAATGAGACTCGGGCTTAAGCCATATCTCCTGCATTGCAAGAATTAAGGGATAAAATTTATTAATGAGGTAAATGAGTAATTTTTTTTATTCCTAACGCTCTGACAATTTCATTGTAGAATTGGTGTCTGGTATGCGTATGTTACGGGCTAAGGAGGAAGGCTCAGTAAGTTTCTGACGTAAATTACAGTGAAGTGCTTGTAAACAAATGAGAACTTAGTTTGATTTATTTATTATATATTGCTGATTCTTTCTTCTTACTTCGCATAAGTAGTGCATAACATAAAAGGTAGTAATTGACATATTACTTGTTTGTTTAAAGTATGAGTGATAAGATAACAATGAAATAACAAAACAAAAATCGTCAGTGTGGCTTTATTAAAAAAAATATCGTGGAGAAAGTGGTTTGTAAGATATGTAAAAAACCGTTCATAGACTTTCTAACATAGTGTAGTGTAGTAGTACCTTTGCTGGAAATAGTTGTATATGAGACATATGATACTTTCTTCCGGTGTCCGGTTGTTAGGTTTTCCTCTGTTATCTGTTTTATTAAAATAACTTTCATTTTTTTCTAGAGTAGTCTGAACTATAAATCATTTGACCATTTGTTCGGATATTCGTAAAGCGTTAAGCATACCAGTAGATACTTTCGAATAATCTAATTCCGAATATGTAATAGGTTATAGTTTTTTTATTGGGTACGATTGTTATTCCTATTAATTTGATGTTTTTTATAGATTGCGACACGACATATTTATTGATATACTGCCACTGCAAATCATGCTTATCAAAATTATAAAATGTTTGTGAAATGGTATTTCTGCTACCAGATGAAAACGTCTCACTACATTTCAAATTGTTTGCTACATGCTCTATTGTTTTTGTAGAGTACTGCATTTTATAATGGCATGCATGTTCGCAATAAGGTTGGCGAACATTTTTCATTGCTTTGAATTTATCCATTCTTTTCATCGATCACTAATAAAAAACTAGATACACAATCAGTGACAAAAAGCGACCTCACCAAATGAGCACACATTCGAACATTTGGGTGCGCTTTTAATCTAGTTACATTCGAACGCTCCGACGGTAAACATGCCTCAGTACTCGTTTAAAAAGTGTAAAAATCACGCATCCAGGACGCTAAAAAAAGGTTGGAACCTAATTACGGTACGTATTGATATGATCATTATTTAATTGTTATCACTGTATTGTAAATACTTACATTTTGTCAAGAAATCTCCGTAAAACATTTTTTAAATTAAGTCTTAATAAAATAAGTCATAATTGCTCAAGGTATGTGCGTTGACTCTGTTCCATTAGTTGGAGACGTTGTTATTTTTTATTATTAAAGTATAATTGTGTTTTTGTTTAATGAGACTTCTTTATAGTTTCTCTAAATATTATAGTAACATTTTATAGACTTAATTTTGAATACGTGCATGTAGTAAAATCAAAGATGTGAGATTTTATTTTTAATTTTTCAGTTTTCCTCGAGATCCAGTTAGGTGTGCACAATGGATATCAGTCATAGCATGTCAAAGGTCCAAAGAATTCTTCAATCCGACTCAAGGAAGCGTTGTATGTTCGTAGCATGTTTTAGAAAGTGATGAATATGTGACTACAATTTACTACTTTCTGTACATACTTTTTATATTTAGTAACTATTGAATTTAGATTTAAGTTCTTTTTCAAGCAATATTTTTAATTTTTGACACAAGATGAAGAATAAATAAATAATTATGACTGTTTCAAGTACTTTCATTACTAAATAAATGTGGTTTCCTATCCAAAAACGTATTTACATTCAGGTAAATTATAACCATTACATGTAATACACCATAGAATAGAAAAGAATATGCTTTATGTACACCAGTTTTTAAAACAAGTTTGAAACATTTTAAAATTAAAATAACAGTAACAAGAAATATTGGGCAGTTCGACTCCAATGATTCCTTGTCCAAGCTACGAGCCTCGGTCGTAAAATTTGATTGCTTTTTATTTGCACTTTGTAATTCTGACTTTAAAACACGTGTGTAAGGTTGAATTTGTTTTGATATAGGGTTGACCAGCCAGTATCAGTCATGCTTTTTGTACGTATCTTTGTGAATACAACTATAGGCAATGTATTTAAGGTTGAATTTACATAAATGTATATTTATTTCAACTAGAATTACGTCACAACAATTGGCGACAGTTTTTAGAGAACTTTTGTATGGGATTGTGTATCTAGTTCTTTATTAGTGATCGATGATTCTTTTTCATAAAATGTTTGTGGTCGTTTTCTTCATAAAATGTTTACTTCTTACAGTTCACAATAAAAATACATAGTTATAACGCAGTTAGTTTTATGTCATTTCCTATGGAGTTGTAACGAAACTTTTACTAATCCAAGTGCATTTTATAAGTTGGTCGACTATTACTCGTTCACTTGTTCTACTTTGCTGCGATAGTTTTCTTTTTAACTTCCTTATATATGCTATTGTTGAGTATACTTTTCACATTTCCAAAAACAGCGGTTTACTTGGTGGCGGGGAGGGGGGTGGGGGCTCATAAGTAATGAAAAATACGACTTTATAGCTTAATATTTCGCAATCGAACACCTGAATCAAAAATATATTCTTCCATACCCCAATGTTTTTGAAAGACCTATCCAACGAAACCCTATACGATGGAATAGATTGGTAAAAAAAAATCATCATTCTTACCTGTATAGGAGGTACCCAAAATAAAAATGTTTTTAAAATTTTATTTTGTATGTGTGATTAATATCTATACTTAATTACACATTTGTAGCACCCAGGGTCTCTGAGTAAAACCGTGGACGGACGGATGGACATGGTGAAACTATAAGGGTTCCTTGTTGTGTAACTAAGGATAAAAGGTCATAAACGTTCATACGACACAGGTCGTAAAAATAAAACAAAACAATTTTTTTAAATATTTATTAAGATATAAATGTATAGAAACGCATTTGTAAGTTGCTATTGCTTCTAAAGGGTTATTTTTTATCTCCACTGCCACTTATGTAATCTTTACTTGTAGTTCTCGTAGGTAGATTACCTACAATAAATGAATAATAAAAAAATATTTTTATTTATTTGTTTTTTTTTCAATTATTCATTATTAATTAAAGAATATATGCCAAATACCGTGCGATTGTGACCTAATATTAGTCCCATGTTAGCCCGGGGCTTATCCGTCCCATTCCCATGTTCATTTGGGAATCTTATCAAAAAATAATGCACCAACTGTGTTACTAGCCTAGCATATCGCGGGCTAGTCATATCACTTCTTTACAATATTCCATCTAATACCATATTTTTAAATAAAATGTAGTCCGAGTAGCTCACTGCTATTTGGACTCTGCCTCGCAGAGTACCCCTTTGTAAATTACGTTATGAGGTAATAGGATAATTTGTTTTATTTTGTAATAGGTGGTGTAAATGGTAGTAGTCATAATTATAATAAGACATTTATTCACTACCTCCTCCTTCACTGCTGGCCGACGCTCAAGGTCGCTCAGCGAGCTATGGAGAGGGCTATGCTCGGGGTTTCTCTGGATGCTAGACTTAGAAACGAGGATAGCCGCAGTAGAACCAGAGTGACCGACATAGCCCAATCGACACCCGATTAAACCCGCGTAAAAACCGACAACCGATGGGGGAAAAGGTTCTCGTCTGGCAGCTTCGCACCGGTAGGCGTAGTGTAGGGCTACCCCCACTAGATGGAGTGACGACCTGGTAAGACATGCAGGACGTCGATGGAGGCAGGTAGCTCGGGACCATGGTTTGTGGCATTCCTATGTACAGCAGTGGACTTGTGAAGGTCTATAATGAATGAATGAATGAATTTATTCACTACACAAGATTTGCATACATTGCTTTTTAATATGATATTTGCCAAAGATTGGATGCTTTTTCTTTGCTTGACGGGCAAGTTGCTGTCTATCTCCTGTTTCAGTATCCCTCTGTCGCCTCTTACGACATCCGCGGGACAATAAGGGGTAGTGGATATTCTTACACCGATACTTCACAGTAACAGTACAAGAATACAAACAGAAGAAAATCTTTTTTATAGCTTTAGCTGACTACCCAGCATTCAGTCCACCTGATGGTAAGTGGATGCCGTGGGCCATAAACATCCACATTTATCCTCAATTAAGAATCGAAATACAAATGCGTTCTCACCCCTAAGGGCTAAAATGGAATGCCTCGATACCAGTAGAGCCACGTTGCAGCTGGTTGTAGCACGAATAGGTCGGCTCGACCGGGGAAGGACTACGCTTTCACAGAATACCAGCGTAAAACAGCAGCTTAATACTACTGTGTTTCGTAAGATGAGTGTAGAGATTCGGACATCCGTTTTTACTGGAAAAGAAGCATTCCATCTTATGACATGACAACGCAACTGCGTTTGGATTGTTAATCGAGGATAGATGGTAAGTAGATGTCTATGGGCCATAGCATCCACTTACCATCAGGTAGACTGTGTGCTCGTTTGTCACCCTTATTCTATAAAAAAAATTATTACCACGATACTTATCTTGGGAGAGCATATATCCATCCATCCATCCATCTATTAAAGCCTATAAAAATCACTGCTGAACGAAGGTCCCCCCGTAGATTGTCACACTTGGGTAATTTCGCCAAAGTTACCACGCCGTGCTGGCGAGCTAGCAACCCAATTTTTATTACTTCGAGTTGTTATCAGGATGATGCTGCTATCGTATCTCCGGTTTCACTTTTCCTTTGTCGCCTCATACGATTACCACGGAACGATATGGGGTAATAGCGTAGTACCTACTGTTATTTATTCTGTGGCTGTACTTTAATACAACATTATGTAACAATGAACGAAAGGGTTCAGGCGTCAGCATTGGATGCTGTTTTCAGACCTCCGAGTGGATAATATATAGGATGGACCGAACAGACAAACACAAGAAAGCAAGTATAAAAACTAGGCTTCTCCTAATACATAAATACCTGGTGGTCTACAGCACTTTACGGTACCCGATTTGGGAGTGCTCTTATTCGAGTCTTTGGATCGGGCGGTGAGGTCGCACGGACAGCAGGAATGAACACTGCTGCGTGAAGTATTCATAGCCTCTATTTTCTCCACCTGAACATTGCAGGAGAAATTTCGTTCTTTAAAATAAGAGACGGTGTTTACCACATTCATATGCTCCAGACGGAAATTCGGCCATTCTCTACGAAGAATAGCCATCTGCGCAGGACAGGATTATAGTGCCCGTGTGCACGTTCGTAACTCTATTCCCTCACTCTCATAGTCCGATGGAACAAGGCGACACGACAGGAGAGATCAGGCGCAGGACCTACAGCTTTACGTGATTTCCGAAGCGCAAGCGTGAAACACCGCCAACTTCCTGACTCCAGGCTGCTACTGAGCATTTCATGACAGAAGAACTTAATAACTGATTTTTGGAACAACCCTGGATTCGAACAATGGGACCACATGATCAGCAGCTGTGGTCGTAAATCACTATTTCGACGAGACAGGCACCCAAGCCAATACATACGTATTTTTACACCTTATTAAACTTAAATTTCTACTACATTGCTGAGCACAAACCGCCAGTCCCGAAACCATTATTCGCAGCCAGTAAAAAAAATCATACAAATTCTTGTTGTTTGGGAACCGGTAATCAAACCTGCAGCCCCGCAACCAATCGCTTAGTGAATACTCTAAGTAAAAAAGATGTGGTAGTTTAATCAAAGATGTTAAAAATTAATACTATTATAATTATACTAAAATCCGCGCAATACAATAAAATGACGTGTCTTACAAAGTTTGAAGTGCACTTCCCATCCTTCCCCAATTGCGTGCACTATCTCTATAATGCTACACTAGGAAAGACACACCACCGTCGATAATACCTACGACACGTGTTTCGTCTCCTTAACTCTAAACGAGGCAACTCCGGTGCAGTAGACTCTGCGATAGCTGACCGCTAAATGAGCGGCAAGCTAAAATAACTGCTATTTATACAAGCGACTACGTCATCCGATAAAACATACACACAGTTTTTAATAGACATGTGTCATCCATTAATTTCCAGTGATCTAATCATTCAAGTACTTTTCGTCACACGTACCGGTATGTTCGGATCGCTCGTTCAAATAGATCATTTCGTGGGAACCGCTCTCCTATATGATTTTGTACTTCTGTATTTCTTTTTGTTCTAAAGTAAATTCTAATATTCGATTTTGTCATCGATCGCGAGGCGTAGTTCATTCCATAAAACTTTTTAATTGTTTACCTTAGACGGCGCAGCGGGTAGTTTGTACTGACGCTCATGCAACGTTTTCGGTGACGTTTTCTTCTCAAGGGGTAGATGCAGCTCTTGTTTCAAGGACTTTGGAGACTCCACAACTTTCCGGACTGCTGACGGCGGTTTTTCTTTTTGGATATATTGCTGAATAAATCATAAAAAGGCAACACAAATCTCGTAAAAGGTAAGAGACGTACGGATTTTCAACCGACTTCAAAAAAGGAGGAGGTTCTCAATTCGACTATATTTTTAATGTGTGTTACCTATGAACGTTGAGCATTTTCATCTGTAGCGGCTTCAAGCGGCAGCTACTCGTGCTAAGCCACTGATATTAAGCATATACCTACATAGTCTGTTCGACGAGAGATGATAAAAAACAGGGTTCCTAAAGCAGTTCGCTAAGCTTGACATTCACGGTCAGTTAAACTGATCATTTAAAACGGTTGTAAGTCAAACCCAGTTTCCCACTTACTGGCTACAAACTGGCCTTCATTTCTGGATTGATGGGCCGCGCACAGACATGCGTTATTACATATTAGGCTAGCTAACCTCTCACCGCTTCAGTTGTTTGCCGTCAGTTAAAAATTTCAACTTAAAATTTTAATACACTCCCGGTTAGTTTTTGGATATATGTTTATTTAACTGATCGTGCGCATGTAAAAATTCGTGTGTTGGCGTCAGTTAAAAATTTGAACTTAAGATTTCACACTCACGGTCAGTTCAAGTGATCAGATTAACTGGCCGTGTGTGTCGAGCATAACAATATTGCTGATGGATAATTAATAAAATAAATAATTAAAAAAATCAAAAACCAAACCGCCAAAAGACAGTTTAAAATTAAATCCCTAAAAAGACAGAAAAAAGATTATTAATAGAAAACAAAATTAATTAAAACTATAAAAAAAGTAAATATCATAATATAGTCTGTTAAACAGAAGTAGAGTTCTGTTTAACAGACTATATTATGAGCTGAAAGCCTAAGTTGAATACCCGCATTAAGCGCAAGCGGAATCCGTATTCTTCGTTTATATAACTTTCAACTGGGCCCCGCCTGCTACTGAACTTAATGCGGATTTTTCAGCTCTCGCCCAACTTCAAGGCTAGGATTTCCTAGGTTTAATATATTAATATTCCTATACCAGCGGAAAATAGCAGCTTAATGCTGCTGTGTTTCATGTGGTGCGCGTAGATAACCGGAGACCCTTTTTACTAAAAAGAAGCATTCTATCTTAGTCCCTGAGGACTACCCCTGAGGGTGACAATGCATCTGCATTTTGATTTTTAATCCTGGATAAATCTAGATGTCTATGGTCCACAGGGCTACAGCATCCACTTACCATCAAGTGGAGTGTGTGCTTGTTTGTCACCCTTAATAATAATAAAGCCTCTTTATTCCTTAATAGAACAAAAAAACTGTCAGTCGTAGGACTGCACGTCAGAAATAACAGTATATAGAATAGTAGGTAGGTACTTGTAAACATTATATTTGGGTTGTTAAGAAATATTTTTTATTAGGGATTATTTTTATAAATGAATGAATATAGTAATAAAATTTTCGTTGATTTAGCTGTTTTACATGAAAAATCTTGATTATTATCTATATAATACAAACAAATTTATAAATACATATCAATTTTATAAAATTTGCGTTTTCAACATTATTCTCATAATTTTTATGTAGGTACCTATCTGAGCGTGACGGTCACGGGAGTTCAGTGCCTTTTCCTATTCTCAAAATGCCCAACGTCCCGTACGTAACGAAAACGTAAAGAAATTTTCACTTCAATAAAAAAATAACAACAATTGTATAAATTAAGGTTATGTACGCTTAGAAAAGAAAATGATATATTTCAATTAAGGACCATAAAATAATATATTAGGTCAATCTAATAAAGGCGGATAAATGTTACCTCGGGCACCTTCCAAACGACGATGCCCCCGGCGGCGCAGGTGCTGACGATGTGCCGCCCGTCGGGGCTGAAGCGGCAGCACGTGACCGCGCCCGCGTGCCCCAGCCCCGCGTGCGTGTATATGCCCTCCTGGTACTTCCACAGCTGCACGAAACGTGGCTTTTGTAGTACGAGCAAACGACCATACAGTCCACCTGATAGTAAGTGGATGCTTTGCACATATACGGCATATAACAAACCATCCAGCGATCCTTTTAGGGACGTAGACATAGACCTGGTATTTATAACGTGATTTTTTTTGTCTTAATACGACATGACAAAAATTTTAATGTCGCGGTGACAAAAATCACCAGTGCGCGCTAGTTCTTAAAGGGATTTTAGTGTTCGCAATTGATAACAAACTAAATTCAATCTAGTGAAAAAATGTTATTCACATCTGAACTAAATGACACGCGCTACAAAATAAATAATAGTACTACGTACACGCGCATCAATAAAGCGGGGTTATCGACAATACTCTTACTACCCGGCCAATGCAGAGGTAATACACTCACAACAGCTGTAACCTTCTTTTCACCAACTCCTAAAAGCCCTTTGTCTTAATCAACACGATTAGCAGGCGGATTGACAGCCATTGTGTTATATGCGAGAATCTTAGACGCCTATCTCCGTTGCCGGCCCGGGTGTTATTGTATACCAATATTTATCGGATGCCTTTCGGCCCTTTTAGATGACCATTAAAAATTTCTTAATACGATTTTATGGTTTTAGTATGCATGTTGCACTAGATATTCTAGATAGACATGATATACATATGTATATTCATCAAATAAAATTTTGTGAACCGATTTTGATGATAAAGAGAGAGGGAGAGGGAGAGGAGAAAAATTCCATTCCTAATGGTGATACAATATGGGATAAAGTAAAAACTTGTAACAATCGAAACTTGTAAGACGACATTGAGATTCTGAATTGTGTAATTTAGAGAAGAGTAAAATAATAAATTTTTATTAAAAAGTGAAAGCCGTATTTTAAGAACTACAAAAACGGTTTCAATGTGAATTTTTTTTAATTCTTTTTAGTTATTTGCATACATAAATTGCTCATAAACATTAAACACATAGTAATGTAGTGTTGTAGCTCACAAGACTATTACATCTTCTTCCTTCGTTCGTCTTCTTTCGTTTTCCTTCTTCCTTCCAACCTTCACCTTCCAACAATGCAATACATCCAGACTCGCAACGATTATCTGTTTTGTCATTGTGGCATTACGGTGGAGTTTTTCCTTCTCTAAAACCATTTCAGAGATTTGCGGTTTGGCAAATAAAAATAAGGCAAATAAAAATAATAATTTATATGTCGGACAAGGATAAGTATAAATATTAGAAAGGGATGGCAAGAGCCTCCTATAGGATTTCGAGAATCGTGTAGAAAATAAATGAGCTTGTCAACTCACTCGAGCGTCTAGCAGAACCGAAAACAAGACATAACCGTTTCTTAAAAATATTAATTATAAATAATATCTTATTATAAAATATGAAAATGCATCTAATTAATGTTTTGAATAGATTCTGTATAACAATGAGATGTGAAATATGTTAAAAGAATTCAATTTTAGTAATAAAATAAATAATAGTAAAATTGTATAAGAAAATTAAAGTATTAATTATGCTTAAAAGTTTTAATTCTTGAATTAAATTATTGTATTGTTTCAGATATGTGAAATTAGTAAGGAGTGTTTGGCAGTGGAAGGAAAAGGGGAGATCTTCCGCCGGGCATGGTGTTTTGCCCGGGGAGCGGCCAACGCTCCGTGTATTCTTACTTCGTAACTTTGATAGCGCGATTTGGCTTGGATGTGTGTTGCTTGCGAAACTCAAACCGGAGGTCGATAATGCAGTCTCGTTGTCGACAAATGTGCAAGTGCAAGGGGATTGCTTTGTAGTCTGCGATGAGTTGAGAAGAAGGCAAGTAATCTGCGAGAGTACCATGAAGCAGAGGCGAGCAGTAAGACTCAGAGCTTGAAGGAACAGAAAGCATTATTATTCCAGTGCTGCGATGAACCTAGTGAAGCTAGATGGCTTGCAGGATGTCAAGACTGCAGACGATATCTGCTCGGGAGCGAATTGAGGGGGTAATTAATGACGATGACGAAGCTTGAAGTTGAAGTTTCTGAAGGTTGCATTGTTGCGAGTTCAAATCACGTCGGTTAGTCACCAGTGTGGTAGTGAAAGGAAAGGGGAATTTTCCAGCCGGGCAAGGTGTTCTGCGGCCAACGCGTGCATCGCGTGGTAGTTCGGAGCTATTCTATATATACTGTTTTTACTTCGTAACTTTGATAGCGCGATTTGGCTTGGATGTGTGTTACTTGTGGCGCGACAACAGCGCCGCCACAAGTATTATATTAATAAAGTTTATATTCGACATTTAAGGTTTATGACTACATATAAGAAATTGCTTGTAAAGTTGTGATATTTTGCTTAAAATTTTATTAATTTTTTATGGAATATAATGTGAATATTTTAATTGTTTTTTAAGAGACATCTGATTCCATCCAAAAATTGGTAGGCATAGGTATCGAGGTCGGCACTCAAGTCTTGGCCGATATCCGGGTCAGGAAAAATCCAATCACAACGGTAATGAAGGCGCTGGCATCATTACAGGCACGCCGCTACGGAGGATACTAAACTGTGCCTCCTTTATTGGAATCCGGACGGGGTATAGCAGAGGATCCATAAACTACGTACGGTCGCCCAACCACAGCATATCCAGGTGATCTTGCTGGAAGAGACATAGTTAAGACCAACTACGCATCTGAAGCTGCCAAATTACTTCATCTACAGGCGGGACGAAGTCAATCTTCAAGGGATCGCGCACAAAAGGACGGGGATTCTAGTAAGGAGAGACATCGTCCATCAAGAGCTTGACCTGCAAGATTTTTAAACGATGCGCTCTATCGGCATAAAAATGCAGGCGGCGGGCGAAGAACTAAGGATATTTGCAGCATACCGCCCGCCAGGGACTCTATTTCACTCATCAGACGTCCGGACGGTAATGGAAGGTATGACGTCCACCATCATCACCGGTGACATAAACGCTAAACACACGGCGTAGGGGTCTAGATTGATCAACCCGCCAGTTTGTGAAGAACAACAGAAGAATGCGGAGAACAACAATTGCGACGTTTTAAGTCCCGAAGAACCAACTCACGTACCTACAAACCCACGGAATCGTCCGGATGTACTGAACATCGTGCTCTCTAGGAACGTCAACTGCCTGATAATGGTAGACGTACTGTACGACCTGAACTCGCAGCACCTCCCGATTATGATTACCCTTAGCACCAAGGCGGTGACTACGTCGCCCAGAGCTTTTAAGACCAAGATTGACTGGAGGCTCCTGCATGCAACTAGAATTTCCTAGAGCATTAAGAAGGCCCTCCACGCGGCTTCTACGATCGTCCCTCCCTCTGAAAGGAAGGACGAATTGCCACGAGAGATACGCGTGCAGCTAAAGCATAAAAGAGCGCTGAGAAAGCTCTGGACGCGCACTCGCTGCCACAGACTCAAAACCAAACTGAATCAGCTAACGGACGAACTGACGGTTACAATCCAGGCCCACAGATGAGAGGCCTGGGAGCGGCGCATCTGTAAAACAGATGAACATGATGCGTCGCTCTACAAATTGAACCGGTAGTTAACGAAAACTCGCCCTCCCGTTTGCAGGCTGACCAACAATGCGGGCGAACGATGTTATGATGCCAAGGGTAGAGCACATATCCTAGTAGAGCACTTTGAGCAGCAATTTAAGCCGAACCCAGCAAGTGCGGAGTTCAAGGAACTTCATGCCCGGAAGGAACCCGCGTACAGGAGTTCTTGTCGTTGCCGGCGCCACCGCTTGCAGAATAGTGGTTCATCTCCCCGCTGAACTGAGGACAGTAATCCGCCTGGAACCGAGGAAGGCGCCGGAGAACGACGGGATTACTAACGCTGCACTCCGGCAGCTGCCCAACAGAGTCCTTGTAGAGACTGGTCGACTCTACAATGGCATATTCCGGACATCCCACTTCCCGGAGGACTGAAAGAAAGGCAAAGTTATCGTCTTGCTGAAACACTGTAGACTGGCGTAGATCTGCCAGTTACAGGCCGATCACGCTGCTACCGCACATAGCTAAACTGTTTTTAAGATTTTTGCTGAGACACCTCCGCCCGTGCATACAACTTAGGGCGGAGCAGCACGGATTCAGGAGGGATTACTAACAGCAACACAGCTGACCAGAGTGCTGCACTTTCTTAAGGTTGAGCACAACCACAGCCGCACATCGTTAGCCGTCTTTCTCGACATAGAGAAAGCGTTCGACAGGGTGTGGCACTCCGGATTACACTACAAGTTAGAAGACCAAACAAGTATCCCTCCTGCTATGTTGCTGTTAGTGGCGTCACTCCTCGCAGACAGGAGGTTCTACGTCCGTGTAGAGGACGTCGAATCCGCAACAAGGCCCATTAGAGCCGGCGTACCACAGGGTAGCTCTCTGTCTCCAGTCCTGTACGCGGCTTACACACACGGCCCCCGGATCGGCGACCCTATCCAAGAGAACTCCTCTCTAATCTACATAAGATTAGAGAGTCGAGTAAAACCCACAATGCCACAGAAAGACCAACTTAGACTAACTAGATTACCTTCTTTTACTATGAATTAAACACACACAAAATCGCCTTATATAAGGCGCCCAGGACCGGCTCATTGTAGTGGGCCCTGAGGAAAGCCCGGGTAAAGGGGCATACCCCGAGGCCCGAAACCTGCTGGGCATTAGCCCACACAGACGACAACACGTAGCTTGAAATTCGTTCGGGACCAGACTGAAGTCAGGCCCGGGACCATTCCCTAAGGACCCGTAATCTTAGCCGTCAGCCCCTTTCTTTTGGTTAAGATTCTAAGTCGAACATCTTAATGATTTCTTATATTTACGCGAACACTACACATTGATTAAAACTAATTTTACGGACTTTATCGCGTTTATTTTACTATTATTTTTAATTCCCGACGTTTTGGGCGCTTTCCAGCACCCATGGTCACGGGAGACTGAGATGACTGACGTCCCGATGTCATTGTTAAACCCGGAGTACCTTCAGCTTCTTTCAATTATT